GAATTTAATTTTATGAGTAAAATTAAGTAAAGGTTCCCTCAAACATTATGGTTTAAGGTTTGTCACACAGTTGATTTGAAAGATTCTCAAGTTTTTTGTGAAGTATAATGTCCTGTTTGTTTAATTTTAGTTGTGTTTTTTTTAAGAATTGTATAATATCCCTTGAAATGATGGAAGACTCACTGGAGTCCTCATAGAACTAAGTTTTTATCTTACTGGTTTATTTACAGGTAAAAGGGATGAAAATGAAAATACTTGAGGTTTTTCTCACACGTGCGTTTAATATAATCTCAGCTATATTATATGCATCTAATGGCAATTTATGCTGACATATTAAAGGCAAAGCACAGTGAAATGAAATTCACAGAAAATTCATATTAAAAAAATTTTAGATGAAGATTTCAGCTGAAACGGGACATTGGTGAATTTCTATTCTTTCCTTGCTGAAGCTATAACGTTCAGGTGAACTTCTTCATTTTGGCCTTTAGGGGGCAATACCATACCAGGAATGCTCATAGCAATTGGCCCTGAGAAGGGATCCAGCCTTAAAATTGTATGATTGCATGCAGGTGTCTTGTTAAAAATGCAGTTGTGTATTGCCTGAATTTGGATATGTAATCAGACCCCAACGTTGATGTGTTCCCATATTTGCATATATTTGAATGGCTACTCTAGTCTTTTGTTATCCCCTGGGTAAGGTCTTTTGGGATTTCCCCTCTCTTTCCCCTGCTAGCTTGCTATGGTAGCTCCTGTTTCTTCCTGGGAATAATCTCTCTTTTACAAAAATACCCACTTCTCTCTTGTGCTTGCTTCGGTGTGGCATTCATTCTTTTCATAAGGGAGAGCGTTAAAGGAGAGATCAGAGAGAGGGGGAGTTGGTGCTAAGTCAGATCCGGACCTCACTTCCGTCTCTGCTGTGGTGTGCTTTTGCTGTTGTAAGTTCTCTCCACTCTGTTTACCATGGTTGCCAGCAATGAGACTTTGAGAAAACCCCCAAAGAGTTACCTACTTGCTCTGGGGACAAGGAACATAGAAAAAATTCTGAGCTTAGTTTCTGTTGTTTTCTGTCTTTGAAGAACCAGAGAAAGGAGCAAGTAAGACTGGTCACAAACAAAAAGTAGTGGGGACAAGGCCAGGTACAGTGGTTCACACCTGTAATCTCAGCACTTTGGGTGGCCGAGGCAGGTGGATCACTGGAGTCCAGGAGTTAGAGACCATCCTGGTCAATATAGAAAAACCCTATCTCTACTAGTACAAAAATTAGCCAGATGTGGAGGTGTGCACCTGTAGTCCTGCTACTCGGGAGGCTGAGGCAGGAGAATCTCTTGAACCTGGGAGATGGAGTTTATAGTGAGCCGAGATCATGCCACTGCATTCTGGCCGGGGCAAAGAGTGAGACTGTCTCAAAAAAAAAAAAAAAAAAAAAAAAAAAAAAAGAAAGAAAGAAAGAAAGAAAGAAAAAGTAGTGGTGACAAAAAAGAAGCACATCACCTAATCTCTTGGGCTGAATAAATGAAAAAGAGAAGAAAAATATCTACTCAACCCAGTGTGAGTGGCACTCCTGAAACTTTCCACTGGCCAGAGGCCATGGCATCCAGCTGCTCTTGCCTCACCTCCACTTTTGGGCCACAGTGATTTCTCCCAAAGGCCTGGTGGTGGAGTAATTGAGGTGGAGAGGAGGAATGTCTGACCTTCTGCTAGGTAGAGATGAATTTGAATGATCTAATTTGATCATTCAAATTAGAAACCTATACAAAGATGTCATAGAAACACTTCTACAAGATGGCTAAGCTCTGTAGTGCTTTATAGTATACATAGTGTTTTTTTTCAGCTTTCCAGTTCAACCCAGAGTATCCCACAGCCCTATCCACTGTGCATTCTATGAAATAAATGTATGTTGTTTTAAACAGCATTTATACTTTGAGAACTGCTTCTATTGTATCACATAACATATACAGAACACGTTAAGCTTGAAAAGCAAGTCTTAATCCACTGCTATTTAAATTGGGCTGTAAAAAATTAAAAACTGCATTTAAAAGACAGATTGTGCTTTGGTATAACAATATATGTATTTATGTATTATATTTGTGTATTATGATGCTAGTCTGTGTAGTATGTTTATTTGGTTAAATAAAAATGTGTCTTTTAGGATCTGTTTATCATAGATAAAAGGCTCTATTGGACAATTTTGTTCTTTTGTTGCTGTAGTAAAATTTTCTTTTCTTCTCAAGAACCAGTGTTTTAATCCAAGATAGTGATCTCATGTTTTATTAAAATAAGTTTAAATTGTTTCATAATATTTAGCAAACCTAGAAGTTAGAATGCTGAATGGAAAGTAGTAATAAAGTACGCATTAGCATTTGCTTTTAATTGCTGTAACTCTTGCATCAATTAGAGTAAAACGTTGAGGATGCGGGTAGTCATTTAGTCACCGAAAGAAAAAATAAAACTTATTTACTAAATTGTAAAGAAATTAGGAAAATGATTTTCTCCAAATTACATTTCTACTCAAATGCACTCCAAACCCAAGTTATTTCCCTAATTATATTTTATATGCAAGGAATTTTTAAACCTCTTTATGCACTTCGTGCTTTTGGTTGGCAATTAAACATCAATTGAATTTCCATTAAGTTGGAAATTATAGGTACTGGTAGTTTTTAAAGATGTGATTTTAGCAAGGTATTTGTCTTGGAATAACCATAATAATAATACATCTATTGACTACTTTAAGGTTAATGAAATACCGTCCTGTAGAGAGGCAGTATGGTATCCTGAAATGACCTTAGGCTTTGGCTTCAGACCTGAGTATGAATGCCACTGTAGCCACTTACTATCACCCTTCCTCTCAGGTCTCTCATCTGTAAAATGTGGAGAACACCTATGTTGAAATGTTGTTGTCATTAAACAAGAATGAATATATGTACAATTCGTAGCATGAAATAGCATTAAAACCCCCAATACTGGACGGGTGTGGTGGCCCATGCCTGTAATCCCAGCACTTTGGGAGGTGGGCCGATCACGAGGTCAGGAGATCAAGACCATCCTGACCAACAAGGTGAAAACCTGTCTCTACTAAAAATACAAAATTTAGTGGGGCAAGGTGGTGCACACCTGTAGTCCCAGCTATTCGGGAGGCTGAGGCAGGAGAATCGCTTGAACCTGGGAGGCGGAGGTTGCAGTGAGCTGACATCACGCCATTGCACTCCACCTTGGGCAACAAAGAGGGAAACTCCATCCAAAAAAAACCCCATACTTAGTCTTTGCAATTTTATTAGGAAGTAGGTTTTATCTTTCTTTTAAACATGAGTCAGTTGAGGCTCAGGCAACTCATCCAGAGTCACCAAGTCTGTTTTATGACTCCAAGTCCAGGACATTTCCCTGCCCTTGGCTACTTTTGGAACAAGGCTATAAAAACTGATAAAAGGATTAGCAGCAGGCTGGGTGCAGTGGTTCACGCCTATGGCCCCTCAATAAATGGTTTTTAATTTAATAAAAGTGTTAGCAGCAATTGCTAGATGTGATCTCTCATATGTGATCTAGGCTCCATTAAGGCAGCCATTCCCAGCCTTTTTTTTCTCTGACATACGTGACATACAGCATGACTCAAGGTTGCTGTTGCGTTAGCTGAAACTCCATCTTTTCTCTCCTGCTCAGAAAAGCTCACAAACGGAGAGTGTGTGTGGGTGTCTATAATTAATAGCAACAGCCTGCAATCCACTCTATTTCCAGCCCCCTAGTACTTTATTACTGATAGCAAGTTTTTTGAACACACTTCACAACTTATAGCAGCACACCACAGTTGGGAACCACGGCATAAGATGTGTTCTAGGGAGAATAAGTAGGTCAGTTTGCAGTAGGGGTTTCCTGCTGGGGAATAGTGAGAAACATGGTGGAGCCAGTAGGAATCTAAAAAGTTGGACTTGATCTTGTAGGCACTCAGAGGCTCTTGGGTAAGAAAGCAATGAGGCTAAAATGGTAGCCTGCAGGACCTGGAAAAAGCTTGGAAACCAGGAAAACAGTTGGTCTATTGAAGTGAGACAGATGGGATGAGCTAAAGTCCTGAACTAAGGCAGTGGCAGCAGGAATGGGAAGGAAGGAGCAGATCCAAGAAGATTTGTGACTGACTGGATATGCATGGCCAACCAAAGAGGTAAAAGGGCCATTTAATAAAGCAGAAGTTTCAACATAAGCTGTCACTTAGACAGTAGGTTTCCTTCTCTAATTATATGTTGCTTAAATGTGTATTAAAATGATCTTGCAGCCCCAGGACTCAATATCCCTGTTGGTGGAAAGTAAACAATCTGGAAGGGTGCTAAACAGCAGAGAAAGCACCGGCTTAGAATTAGACATTTCCACACACGGTTCATAAAATATTAATACATTTTTTTCACCAAGTTGCTGCCTTATGGAAGTGTTTGGGTAACCTGTTACACTGGTTTTAGATATTGGGCTAAGTGACTTTGTGGTTAGTTATACAAACATGCTGCTATCTAAATGTAGGAAGTGATTCTAGAACATTACAAGTGGGTGATAGAACCTGGTGAATTGTTATGTTTAGGCACCTGACCAGCCAATAACTACGATGTTTAAAGTGGTTAAGAAAATCTACTTTTTAATCCTTAAGTTACGGTCATCTGATACACTGTATATCTCAGGTCCATGGATGTAGGTTCCTTAAGGGTAGGGATTTCTTTTTTGTTCACTGTTGTAACCCCATCAGAAAACAGAGCCTGTTGCTTAGTAGATGCTCCATCTGTAAGTGTTGAATGGGTAAGTGACAGCAGGGATCACGAGCATCTGGATCACCAAAGGAGCCCTGGTGCTGATTGTATAGAAGGAGCTTAATAAAGGCTGATTTAGTTGAGTCGAAACAAATTGAACAGCATTTAGCCTAGTGAAACACATTTTTATTGTGTGAAATACAGTAAAATAATTTTAGGTTGATAATTCTTTACATGGGATATTCAGCAGTAACAAAATTGTATTTGTTCTTTTGCTAGTGACGAGTTGGAACAATTTATGGAAAATCAAGGTGCATCGAGCCCAGGTATCCTCATTTTAACAACAAGTCTCAGCAAACCATTCATGCGACTGGAGAAATATGTTACTCTCTTGCAAGAGTTGGAACGGCATATGGAGGTAAAGGAAGGTGAAATTTTTCAAGCTCGTGTGCCAAGTATGGTCCTCTGCTTTGGAGGACGCATCCCATTTGCCTCCCAAATGGCCTGGCAGAGGAATCAAGGTCTTGGATTCGAAATTTACTTTATCTGTTCTTCCTTCTTCTCAGGCTTCTGGTTTTCCTCTTTATGCAGCAAAATAAGATCCTTATTCTTTGCTACTAGATATTAAGGATTATTCTCCCTTTTTTGTCTTCTCTTCCAAGACTTGATCCCATGGCTTCCCTTAACCCCATACTTACTTGCTAACTTGGGTTTTCTTTTGCCCTCTCAGTAGTTTCGTCAAAATCCAACTAAGAAGTCTTTGGTTTTGGTATATTAACCAACTTTATTGTGGGAGATAAAGCAAAACAACATCTGAATGTACAAAGAACAAGTTCACTATAGACAGAAACACATCTCTAGAATTCTGCCGTCATTTAACTTTCTAACTCTGAATTACACTGGAAAATTCTGGTATTCCTTAAGACTGATGAATGGGTACAATATTAGTGGTATCTCTCTACACATCATGCATGTACATCAGAGTCCCCCTACCTTTTTATTTATAAATGTATAAACCTACAGTTTACTTGCAACTGTTGTAGCATAACTACAATATTTTCTAAATGTTAAGATTTTGCAATGAGGCCTGATAATTGAATATTTTTCACCAAGAATTAAATGCCTTATGCTTTGAAAAATCAATCAGCAGAGCTAGCTCCTTGAGCCGTCCTTTTGTGATCATGCACAGGGTATTTAAGTGTGAGTGGGAGAGGAGGGCCTGCTGGAGGAGGCTGCACTTACCCTACTTGCTCTTCCTGTGTCTGGGGAAAGGTTTTGAGGTTTCAAGGGGTTTGATTATCTTTAAAGAAAAAGAGTGCACTCTGCCGGGCTTGTCAGCGTTTATAAGGATTGAAAGCATGTTCTCTGAGCAAAACCACATTCTCAGGGTATTTCACCTACCTGGAGGTAGTGGGGAGCTGGTGAGGAAAGCCTGCCAGTGTGAAATTTCAATTAGGGCTCAGGAAGGTGTTGACCTCTGGATACCTTTCCATAAATGAGACCAGTTTGCTGAACCATTTGAGGTTCGCCCCTTCTTCCTTATCACAAAAATCCAGAAACGAGTGGCCTCAGTTTCTATTACTTTTCAGTGCTGAAATACAAATATGCACTTAGTTTGGGGAGAAACAAATCCCAGATGCTCCTGCTGCCTGGATCCTATGTCTCAGCCTTTCTTGTACTGGAGCCTGTTCTCCTGCCTCCATTTGCTGTGGGTCACATGTCTTTGGCTGCCTCTCATTTCCCATCATCAGAAAAAACAAGCCCTTGGTACTAGTTCACTACTGGGTGAGACACTTTGTGCAGATTTCAGAGCATTTGGCATGGCCTCTAGCAGTAGAATAGAACTTGAAATTCTTCGTGTCCATTGAATTGGGTAAGGATAAATGTTACTGTAAAGGAATACAACCTTACTTTTTATGAGCAATGTCATTCTTGGCTTGGGTCAGGCCCCTAATCTGCTCAGTTCTGTATTTTATCACCTGAGACTAGCGGGGCAGGAGATTTAGTCTTCCCTTACTCCGGCTGAGTTCTAAAGGTTAGGTATATGGAGATACCTCATATGCCCCAATGTTAGGTGCACAGCTACCCATAAGAATCTCTACTTTCCCTTCATAAACAGTTATGGAGTTGTGGATTCCTCTAAGCCATTTTTGAATCTGTCCACTTTTCAGAATTGAAAGTACCACAGGATTGCAGGCCACATGTAAAAGCCTTACTTAAGAAGGAAATCATGGTATGAAACTTGGAATCTTTTCCCATCTGCCATATTCATACTGCTGAAAGAAAATGAAGGCATTTTAGGAAATGAAATAAGATTGATTTTTCTGTTGCTTTTTTTTTTTTTTTTCTTTTTCTGAGGCAGGGTCTCACCTCACTCTGTCACCCAGGCTGGAGTACAGTAATGCAATCACAGCTCACCACAGCCTCGAGGCTCAGCTGATCCTCCCAGCTCAGCCTCCCAGGTAGCTGTGACTACAGGCGTGCACCACCATGCCCGGATAATAGGTTGATTTTTCTCTAATCATGACTAGTTTCCACCATTCCCTACTTCCTGTCATCTACCAACAACATGACCTAATAATGTCCCCTGAATAATTATTTAATTATTATATTTATTATTAAATAGTCATTATCCAAAGTATAATAGCAAAAAGGGAAATGGGAACTCTTGCGTTTTACTACATTGTTACTAAATATATGATGTGTTACCAACTCTCTTAATTTCTTAACCATCTAAGAATTAGAGTCGCTGAGATTCCAAATGCTCCCATGCTGCTCTATTTTTAAATCTTTAAATTAGTATACAGTAAAATTAACATTTTTTCTGGTGCATAGTTCTATGAGTTTTCACACAGGTATAGATTCATGTTACCACGACCACAATTAAAATACAGAACATTTCCATCATCCCTCAAAATTATCTTGCTATCTTTGTAGCCACACCCTCCTTCTACCCCTAACCCTTCGCAGCTGCTGATACTCTCTCCTCTAATACTGTTTTCAAATGTATTCCTTTGATAGGATACTCATCCGGATCATCAGGATATTCTGAAGGCAATCGTAGCATTCAAAACTCTCATGGTAGGTGATGCTTTAAAATTGCAATTCTCACTTTGTATACTTTATTCCTGAAAGAGTGATTTGTGTGCAACGTTTCTTTCCTTATGCAAAGGTCTTTAGAATGGAAATAATAAGCTTTCACGACAGTATAGCAGTGATTGCTTCACTTAATTTTATCCTCCAAAAATCATGCTTACCTAAGAAAGGTTGCCAGGCCGAGGGTATAAAGCAATCACATTTACAGTCTCAGCCACATGAAGCCACATTAAGCATTGGTGTGTAGGTGGGGGGTTTCCTTTTGTCTCTTTGTCTTTACCCCCATTGCTCACCTAATGACGAGTATGTGTAAATCGTCATTCACTGATTTGCATCAATACTGGATTCAACTAGTTATGCCAAAGGGTATGAGTTTGTTCTTTGAATATGAAGAAGAAATCCTTCATCAAATCTAAAAGGGGGGGAAAAACCCAAAGTACTAAAATGCAATTGCTTTATATAGGTTGCTATCAAAAGTACCTGTGATCTTGTGTCTTCAGTATGATGGTTAATGCGTCTTCTTGAACCCACTGATGTAAAACCACTTGGTGCCATTTTAGGAGGAAAGAAAACTTTATTTTAGGCAATTTATTAAGCTCAGCTTTATTTCACACAATTCTATAGCATTATAAGTAATTTGGACTAATGTTTAGTTATTAATCCTTGTTCAAAGACCAGTAATTGACGTGTCTGTAGTTGAACAGCAAGCTGAAGACCAGAGTAAGTATTAGGTTAAAATCGCGATTGCTATATGCCAGAACAGTCCAATATTGGCAGTTTTACATGGCTTAAGCTAATAGAACAGCCCAGTGAAACCCACAGCATTTATTATAATTATGGCTCTTCTATTTTTTTCTTGTATAAATAGGAATGTAAAATGAGTCTTTTTAAAAACCTGTATTTCTACATACATGGCAATGTGGTTTGCTGCCTTCCTCCCCATCACCTATATCTGCAACAATCCTGCATGTTCTTCACATGTACCTCCAAACCTAAAATGCAATTAAAAAAACCCTGTATTTCTTTCTGATTATGTTATATAACTTGCCTTGACGGTTTTGTATATTCTATTATAGGTGCTCTTAAAATATGTGTACAGTGAATTTATTTCTTTGAGTTTCCATGTAGCTGAAAGGGACAGCAGAGATTTTATAGAAAATATAACCCTCAATTTGGAAGGCATGCTGTTAAATTAAGATAACCGCACAGTGTCTGAAGCAGTTACAAATATATATATATCATACCTCACATAGTGTTGTCAAACTCTAAATTGTTTCTTGGTTTGAATTTTTAGTATGTCATCATGAAATTCAGTTGTATCTCTTTTTTCCAATCATTTTAGAAATAAAAATTAATTTAGTTTTTTTTTATAGTAATCTTGGTCCTTAAAGAAAGTACAGCAGTGCTTAGGTTTCATTGTAAGTTTGATTCACTGTGGCATAAAGAATTTAATTTTCTCTTTCTCTATAACTCTAGGAGAAATTTTTTGTTTTTTATTATTTTCAAGATATTACCTTGTTGGAAATTGAGCATATATTAGAAAAATACAATTATTTTGTAACTAAAGCCCTATTTATGCAAAGATAAACAAAGTAAGAGGAGCTCAAGCAGGGGCACTACCCAGTAGATCTGAATCTACCAGATGCTCACCTGGCTCTGGTCGATGTGATTTGACTGCTTGCTTTCCCATATTCTTTACAGGGAGGAAGAAATAAGTTCTTTCTAGCATTTTGTCTTGATGCTTTGGCAAAGTGAAAAAATGAGCATTCCTCACAAAACTTTTGGGGGCTTAAGGCTAGAAATTTCAGGTAGTGGATCTTTCTATCTATCAAGAACAGGCGTGGTCATGGGATTCATGATGAGGAATAGGGACTCAGCGGGAACCAAAGAGTCAGACGCCACATCTTACTTTCGTCTTATTTTAGTTCTGTTTCACAAGAATTCCTATTCCATTATGTTCTGCTTTGGTTCTGTAGGGGCAATGTCAAGATCTGAGGAAGAGAAAACAGCTGGAGTTACAGATACTGTCTGAACCTATTCAGGCATGGGAAGGAGAGGATATTAAAAACTTGGGAAATGTGATTTTTATGTCACAAGTAATGGTGCAGTATGGAACATGTGAGGTAAGGCGCTTCAAATCTCAACGTCATTTCTTCCATCTTTCATATTTTTCTTCCTTCTTTTTTGATAGAGTCCTGTTCTGTCACCAGGGCTGGAGTGGAGTGGCATGATTTTGACTCACTGCAACCTCTGCCTCCTGGGTTCAAGCAATCCTCCTGCCCGAGCCTCTTAAGTAGTTTTTCTTTCTTGTTCTTCCATCAAAGTCAAATGCTACAGCATTCAAATGAGAAGCTGAGCAGCTATTCTTTGCTCAACATTCTGTTAGGTGCTGTGGGAGATAGGAGGAAAGAGCCAACAATGATCGCCATTTTCAAAGAACTCATTAAAAACAGACTAAAACACAAGTTGCACCTAGCAAACAAAACAAATAGTCAATGTTCGATTTTGCAATCTCAACAATAGAGTCCATAGAAGTTCAGAGGAGGAAGAGATCAAGAAGATCTTATGGAGACAGGACTTGAGGAGGGGGCACAAAAACAAAAGGGGAGGATTCTGTAAGGCAGAGGTCATTGTTATCTTAGGAGAGAACAGAAATGTGGGTTTGGTTTTCTGCAGCACAATAAGGAAACCAGCCTGTAGGGAGCAAAAGAAGCAACTTGGCCATAGTAAAAGACTGATTGAGTCAGGTAGAATTAGATTATGCAGAACGTTGACATCAGGCAAGAGTAGTTCACATGGATACACCAAGTCATGGGAAATAATGAAAGAGTCCAGAGTCATACAACAACAACCGAAAGGGATGTTTCACACTTAATCTGACACCCATATATGTCAAGTGAACTGGAAGGGATGGATGAGAAACAGAAAGGCCAACTGGGATGGAAAGTGAAAAGGAGCCCTGTAAGACAGTGGTGACAGGGAGAATGGAGAAGGGGAAAATCGGAGGCATCTTTAGAAGGGAAAGTCAACAGGAAGTAGTGCTCCTGGGCTAGGGGAGATGAAGAATATAATTTTAGACCTGTAGATATCTGGGTGGAGATGTTACATAGGCAGCTGTTAACATAGTATGGAAATGTGGGTGAAAGGTCAGAGTTAGAGGCAGAGACCTAGATGTCCCTAACAGATGTGCCTTCCTAGGAAGTAAATATCCAGAGAGAAGCACCGGGGGCTGAAGATGGATTATTTCTTTTAGGAAGGGGCCAGGGAAAGGGAGAAAGGTTGATTATGGCACCTGGTTTGATTTATCGGGTATTAGAATTGTCTTCCTTCTCCCAAAACATCTTCCTACACTCTGACACGTCTTTGGCAGAGATTCATTACTTTGGGTTAATAAGCAATCTCATTTAAAATGCGGATACCCCAGGGAAGGTTAATGCCGTGAGTCTAACTATTAGTCATTCACACCTTTGGGATAAACCTCTTGGGTGAAGGCAGGAGGAATCAGTGCCAGAAAAAAAAAAAAAAAGACAAAAGAAGAAGGTAGAGAAGAACTTGGGGAGCGTGATGTCATGGAAATTCCATGAGGAGCATTTGAAAATGGCCAGTATACTGACTGCTGCTGAAGGTTCAGAGGGCAAGGAGTGTGAGGACCAAGAGAAAGCCATTGGATATTGCTAGAAGGCAGTTATTGATGACTGTGCAAGAGCAGTGGGGGTGCTGTTAGTGATGGAACAATGGGGAGAAAATGAAGTCAGCAACTAATCTGGCAATAAAATGTCAAGAAATGGGAAACTACGCATAAATAGCCACATGGGGGTAAGCAAAGGTCTGTTAGGACAGGAGGTGTACAGATGTTAAAGGAAAAGAGGAAAAGCTAGTAAAACAGGAGAGGATGCTGGGAGAAGAGGAGATGTCTGTAGTGGAAAACTAACTGAGACAAAGATGTGAGAGAATGAGGAGCACTTGTTAGAATAGTTAGCCTGGAAGGGTTCCTCTTCTCAAATGGAAGGAAGGAGATGGAGATAGGCATGAGGATAATTGTAGCTAAGATGGCTGGGCATGTAAACTAAATGTAATTTTTGAGTATACTAATTGCATATCTGTTGAAGGGGCTCTTCTCATGTGTAAAGGTTTCCTCAGTGCCCTTAAAAAAGTGTATCTACTTTTACATTTTACATAAATCCAATAATTACCCTGTTCTTAATGACTAAAGCTAATTTTATGCATATGACTTTAACATATATTTTAGAGCATACTAAATTTCTTATCACCCGAAAGCCCCTTCATTTTGCCATTTTTTCTAGGTAAAATATATTTTCATTTTGTGAACCTGGAGGCTTATTTTGTGCCCAGGTCTAGCACATCTCGCTGGCTGCATAAACTGTGGTTTCTTCTCAGGCTTTCATACATGGAAAGCAAGCATGGTTATTTGTATTTAACTGTTACATATAGGGAGAAGAGAGAGAAGCTGTGGGTTTATGTCCATTTCAAAGTAAAATTCAACTAGTTTTGTGTTTTCAAGTTGGGTATCTTTTTTTTTTTTTTTTTTTTTAAATCACTTTTAATGTTTCCGTTGTTTATATAAGGTCTATGTTATAAGGCAGTGATTCCAGAAATTCTCAACAGATAAAATGTCCAGTTCTGTTCTTCAAATAATATTGTTCATTCTCTCTCAGGAAAAAGAGGAGCGGTACCTTATGTTATTTTCAAATGTCCTGATAATGTTATCTGCAAGTCCTCGGATGAGTGGCTTTATCTATCAGGTTAGTAGATTTCATATAAAACACACAGCAGACCCCCTAATGAAAACAGGTTTCCAACCAGATGCAGTATCTCCACTATGGCATTAAAAGTGCAAGCCAGGAGAACCAGAATGTTCTGACCCTTCATTTTAATTAAAAAAAAAGCGTCTAAGAGCAGATGTTCCTTAGATCAAAGATCTTTGTATTAGTGTAATGAGTTTATCTTGAATATATCCGCCACTTTAGTTATGCTCTGGGTTTTGAATGCATAAATGGAAACTAGATAAATTAGCAGCAGTATTGTACAGGCCCATGTCATTATTGCTGAGAAAACATGAAGCTGAGATCTGCTCCTATGCTTGTCTGATTATATTCACATCACATGATTCAGGCTTCTAAGAAGCATGCTATTAAACTCCTTAGGAAATTAAACATCCCCAAGTCTGCTCCAAGATATAGAGTATTAAAAGTTACTATTACCCGTTCCATCTTGGCCTGGCAATTAATAATTTTCATAACATCTGAGCCTTCACTTTTTTATAACTGTTTCTTATGAAAATGCGTTAGAAAAGTAAACTACTTTGTAAATCCTGATCTTAACAGTTTAGGGTGTGTTAACGAAACACGATCCACATTTCCCCCTTGCTTTCTTGTCTGATTAAAATTTAGAGCAGGGAAACATATTATCTATTGACAGACTGGAGAAATACATCTAGCCATAATTTTGCAGTGCTGAGAGGGTCAGAAAATCTAACCTCTGAAATAAACAGAGACTCCTGTAACTGCAGAATTAATGAGAATGTTCTTTTTCTAATAGGGAAAAATACCAATAGCGGGAACAGTGGTGGCTAGATTAGATGAAATTGAAGGGAATGACTGCACATTTGAAATCACTGGTAGGTAATTTTCTCTTTTTCACGTAACTACTTCCAATTCCTTTTGGAATGAAGGGGAATTTAATAAATAAATGCCATTATTTTCTGTTGCATAGGCCACGAGCAAGTTTTACGTGGTCATGGCAAAGTATATTCCATTTCCTGCGATGATTAGGGTACAGCAATAGAACAGAGAAGTCTCTTCTCATTCAAAAGCCATGGCTTTGCCATTAGTTTCAATCTTCTGTTGCATGAGAGCTACTTGTGAGAGCTAAGGAATAACAAAATGGACTAATGTAAATGTAATTTTCTCCCTTTCTGTCATTTGTTCCCGGGTGGCAGAGAAGCCAAAGATATGGACTTTTATCAGCAATTTCATCATCAGCCTGAGTTAGCAAGATTTGGTTGTGTTTCTAAAAAGTTCAGAAAAGCCATGAAACTATCTTCACAAATTGAGCACAATGCTGAGCCTTAATAATTCTCCCTGACATTTTAGCTTACGATCCCTTTTGCCAGGCCTGTGTCATTTATGTAGTGGCCTCACTGTGGGCCCTGATACAGCACAGTGGCTAAGACTGGGATCATAGCCTTATCCTCTTCTTTCCCAAGAAGGATCCTAAGGTTTGGTGTTTGCCAAAAGATTGTAAACGGTCTTAGTTGGATCTTGTTCCAACTTTGATACTGGGGGAACCAGTACAATATTCCCACTTTAGACTTAACTAGAGGGACTACGTGCTTACATTTTTGGACTGCGACTTTGTTTATAGTGAAGTTTTACACTACTTTTAAACTTCTGTAAGCAGTAAAAATCAAGGAGAGTTTTCTAAATCAGACACGAATATTTATTTACTTTATTATCACAGGTTATCTGTTTCTGATATAGAAGTTTCAACAGGGTTATCCCATAGGTTTGAAAATCCCTGAAAATACACACCCAAGTCCTAGTTGCATGAAGTGTATTTATGAATGGGATAAGCTCAAGTTTTCCTTGTCTTTTGTTTTCAAATTGATCATAATTGGGGAATGTAGGTAACACAGTAGAGAGAATTGTGGTCCATTGCAACAACAACCAGGACTTCCAGGAATGGTTGGAGCAGCTGAACAGACTGATAAGAGGACCTGCCTCTTGCAGTTCATTATCCAAAACATCATCGTCATCATGTAGTGCTCATTCTGTAAGTAGTCCATGTATTCTGTCCAGGGATTATTGAGTCTTTCATCAACTCCTGCCTGCTGGAGACTTACCTACAAGAAGCAGTGAGCACACCATTAGTCTTTTGGACAGCCTATATTTGTAGATTTTGAAGTACGGTTAAACTTCACTCATTCTGATTTCTCATTACGAGGCCCATCGAAATTAATGAAAAGGTTTACTTAGAGGTGTGCAGTTCTGTTTGACAGTATTCAGATACTCCAACTAACTGCTAGCAAAGTATTTCTAACGAGAAGTCCTGCTAAAATATTTTAATGATAAGCAGAGCTTATTTTCACGAGCAATGGTTATTCTCTTATTAACAATGGGCTAAGTCAAAACAAATAGTTTATCTCCCTAAGTACTTAAACATCTCCATGTCACCTCACTCATGCTCTCACATTTGCTCAGTAACCTTCTTCAAAGGTAAACTTTTAGCATTGTCTCCTATTGACTTATCACAAATTTAGAATTTGGAATTTGAATTGATGAGATTTTACTGTACTTGCTGAGTGAGATGGAAGATATGCTCTGTTGTTTGTTAACATACAAACCTATGATGCCAAAATTCCAGTTTTGAGCACTGTGTGTTGTGGTCGGAAGAATATGGGCTTTGGCTTCAGATCTGGGTTCAAATCTTGGCTTTGCCAATTACTAGTTAGTTATTTCACTTGGCTGAGTCTATGTCTTAGGCTGTTCTCATGAAATAACCTATTTAAGCACCTACCAGAGTGCCAACCACATCACTGAACTCAAATGTTGATTGTTATTCCATTTTCCTTCCTTACAGAGGAAAGAAAATTAAATTAATTAAATTCCAGATGAGAAAGAGAGAACAGGATCATGGAATGTTGAGTCAACTTTGTGCTGTTCCTTAGAGACCCCATGATCTTGACTGGAAAGAGCTAGTTCTCAAACTGGAGACTTGTTTTTCCATCTATCCCTTTCTATGGCTGGCTTTGCTGATCCAATGAAGCTATTGTTGTTCTCTCATTGTGTGGCACAAGGTTGGGTTCAGATGGCAGATTGCCAAAATCTCATCGGACATTTTCCCAGTCTTTTAGCTCTACCGGACAGCCCCGAGGACCCTTGGAGCCTCCTCAAATTATAAAACCGTGGAGTTTAAGTTGTCTACGACCTGCACCTCCACTTAGACCATCAGCAGCACTAGGTTATAAAGAGGTAATTTTGCTACCTATGGCATGAAATGCTTCTGACAAGTTAATTTCGCAGCTTATTACAAATAGTTCTGTGGGAATGTGCTAGAATTTAAGATAGGTGGTATATGTGAGTCAGTCTTGAATTGCTAGACTCAGTGATTTGTTTCTTAATCTTCCATTTCCCATTGTCCATCTGAAAATGTGTATTGAATATCTAAAGGGTATATGTGCACTGCCTGAGTGTTCCCAGTCTCCTCCTGAAGTGCCTCTGATTTACCTTAATGATTATTATGATAATTCTTAATATTCATTAATAATGTACACAAATGTCAAACAAGAGCCACCTCATTGTAGTTGAATTGCCAATGAAGCAGACACAATTCAGCATTTGGGATCATTTTGATCAATTTGAACCAAATTAGTAAAGTGTTATGGGACCAAGCTATGAGTCGAAACTATAAAAGCGATATTTGCTGCAATTGGAATGAGAAAAGAATTTGATGAAATGAGTGTCTTTTAAAAAGAGGCTTTTCAGAGACAACCTCAAAGGCCATTTGATATTTGGGCAGTGTGGGGATTTAGAGATTTTTTGTATTTTTTTTTCTCTCGAAGTTGCAGTCAGGAAGTGTCAGTCACTAGCTTCTGTAACTGTGTGGCGTGTTACTTTTCATCCAAACAGTGGCTTTATCCCTAACCTGTCTCTAATCATTTCAGATTTCAGAAAAGATCCTCATTTATTAGTAACTGTTCTTTAAATTGGTCTTGTTGAGTGACGATTAAGTTTGTGACAGTTATGAGATGAGTCTTAGAATTATGGGGCAATGGCAGCATATATTTCTTGATCAAATGTGTGTTTTGATGAGTGATTCAGACTTAGCTCAATTTTGAGTGTTTTGATTTAAACCACCATGCTTTTGTTTCGATTAATTGTTTCTTCCAACTCTAAGGGCAGTAAACATAGGACAGTCTTTGGACACTGGAGCGTTATTTGATCCTTTCAACTTGATATATTAGGGCAAACAGCCCTTGAACTGAATCTTTGTTATATAACTCTATTTAGAATTTGGTCAGGAAGCAGTCCCACAGATTTGCTTTGGACATTTACCTGCAATTCTTGCAATCATACAATTTTCTTCTTTGATTATGTAAACCAGGAGTACAACTTCATAGTTACCTAGGTCCCCTTTGTTATGATGGATATTTTGTAATTATCAGTACTAAGTTCAAATTAAGGTGAGCTTTGAAGGGTAAAGTTGACTTAATCCTTCACATAACTAATCTATTAAAACTAAGGCATGATCACTTCGTTTCTGCTGGGGGAAGAGAGTTATTAATATATTCTTACTAGGTAGTATGTATTTCAGTTGTTTTCAGCATTTGTTATTCTGCACAGAACTGTATTCCTCGGGCTTTTGCATGATAATATTGCATCTGAAACTAATGTGGGAAATGTGATGATATTCCCTCTGTGTAATTTATGATAACACTAACATTTCAAATGTTGTTTTAGAATTATTGATAAGTGGATTTGGTCATTATAACCATCGACCTCTCACGCTCATCTTCTCTTTCTTTACATATTCATTTTAGAGGATGTCTTATATCTTAAAGGTAAGGGTAGAACAATATCTTTGGCTTACAGTGACATCATAATACTGTGCTGTAACCTTTGATGAATGAAACTTTCCCTTATGCTTGTTTTGTCCCTTGTTATAATTGGTGGCTAAAATACGAAGATGCAATTCTGACATGTAAGTACTTTGTTCAAAAAGCAGGCTCATGTGAAATACATATAAAAATGTCACAATGCCCTAAATGCCAATTTTCCTGTGTGTGTTTTTTTTTAATGTTGCTTTTTCTTGTTATTTTTGTCACATGAGAATTTGTTATATCTGTCTTATTTCAAGTGTAAGTACTGTGGCTACGTGAAATAAATCAAATTATTTGTTTCCTATATTTTTAAGGTGCATAATTAATATGCATGCTTTATGTACAAACATTGGCTAGAAAATTGGGATAAGGTGATCATGAGAGTTTTTTTTCTAAGTCTAAGGTTCTAATCTGTTTACAGATTATTGGATTAAGGATTAAGGATATTGACAATGAGTATCTTTTTTTTTTTTTTTTTTTTGACCTGCCGGTTACTCATATGGCAAAAACAAATTCAATACATTTATTTTGTCTACTAGTTAAATACATGGCTATATATATATATATATATATATATATATATATATAGAGTTAAGCTTGGCTGTGGGTATGTTACTTCTAACCCAAAATTATTTATTAGGAAATCCTTTATTTGGTTCTTCTCTCTGACTGAGGGAAAATGACTTTGTCTCTCTGCCTTAATTTTCCTGTCTCACAAATGGAAATTATATTCGTTTTTGTGGGACTGTTTCTGAGGCAAAATTTTTTGAATAGCTTTGAAGTTCTTTGAAAAGTGATCAGTACTACATTAGTGGTTACAGTAGTTATTTAATTCCCCTAAAGCTTTATCAGTGGGGAATGTAAACTAAATTAGGAATACTGTTTCTAGGGTTGACACCCCTTACTTTCTCTGCAGATGGTTCCCTAAAGGCATTTGGGCTCCTGGAGAATCTGCCACATTTTCAGTAGGCACACTACACTCTTAGTCCCACCTCTGTGCAAATTAAGAGGATAATGTCATTGTCTCTGTTTTATTTAACCTTTTAGAGTTTATTGGAACCATTTTAATTGTGATGTACTCCTAACTGAGATTGTCAAAATGAGAGAGAGGAATTCTATTTCGTTTCATTTGCGCTTTTCAATTTGTTTTTGAAGGAGGATTTTAATTCATCAAGAAATCTCTATCCTTACAGGAGTCTAGTAAAAGTCCTAAAACAATGAAGAAGTTTCTTCATAAAAGGAAGACTGAGAGAAAACCATCAGAGGAGGAATATGCGATTAGGAAAAGTATGTGTTTTGTACATTCTGAAAGTTGTTTATGGATAAATTAACATGAGAATCTTCTTTTATGTGAGGATTTATTTGAAAACAGATAATTAGAGCAATTTTTTTCTTGACATTGTCTTTTATATAAAAATAAGAATGCATGGAAGGCTTTGGTCACTTCTTAAACATTTGAATAAGCTCCTTACGGCTGCACTTCATGTCATCTTAGGCAGATGTCATCTGTATTATTTTCATGTTGAATATTTTGCCTCAACCTGGTTTAGAAGCTCTAAATGGACCCATTTCCTATGGATACATTTTTTTCCTCTTAGTTTCTGATGCTTGAGATATTTTTCTGTAGGGAGATAGACTAAATAGACCCGAAGGCTAAAGTCCTTCCAGAAGTCCCATGCTCAGTTATGCTCTCAGTTCCTCAGGGAATCAGCCTGCCCACATCTAGAAACATGGCTTCATTTGGAGACAGACTGCAACGTCAGTCAGCCAATCGATATGGACATATTTGGCTATAAGATTGTGAACAAGGTACTTTGGGACACATGTGAAGGAGTGAGCAGTGTCTCAGAAAGAGGTGACAGAACTGTGTGTATCAGCTGGAAATATAGTTTGGATAAATCTTTGCTCCACTTCAGCTTTGGCATGCCCACCCCCCACCCCATACCTGGTTGTGCACATTGGCATGTTCACAGGGTGCTGCCATCCAGTCATTTCAAGAATGAGTTTGGAGTAGGGGAGAAGAGAGGAGGTAGAATGAGGGACTATATCGACCAGGTTAATGAGGGAAGGCTTCCTAAAGGTGAGCCTTGAAATTTAAAGGAGAGGATGGCTGGGGTACACCAGTGTGAGCTAAACTAACACCTAAACTCAGTGCTGTGATTTTGGCCTCACTGAGACCACTGACAGAACTCCCATCCCTCCCAGTGTGGAGCTCTGGGCTTCAGGAGTAAGCACCCCACTAAGCTGAGCTCACTGAAGCTGACTCCAAAGCTCCATGAGGATGCTATCATTCTTCTCCATCACCAGCGTTGGACAGCTCTTTCTCTTGCCTTTCACAAACTCTACTGGTCAGAGAAGCCAGTTCCAGACAGTGGAGTGGGCTGCATCATTTTGAGGGTCCAAAGGCATATATTTATGAAAAGTCACAATGAATTAATTTGACAGGTACAGCTGCTCTGGAAGAGGATGCTCAGATTCTTAAAGTGATTGAAGCCTACTGTACCAGCGCAAATTTTCAACAAGGCCATGGCTCAAGTAGGTTCCCCCAAACTACTTTCTCTAGTGAGTGACGTTTCTTCTTTACTGTTTGGTGTCTCTTAGAAAAAGAGAAAAGCGATCAAGACGGGTTGCAGGGTGTGGAAAGCAGGTGACTTGGTGCAGAGGAGCGGTGCAGGACTGCATCTTTCAGATATGGTGGTTTTAGCTACCAAGCGGTTTGTTTACCCACTGTTGTTTTTCACCCAGAAAGAGAGATGCAAGAGTAAAAGAGTTGGAGGTGATAGAAATGAAAAACAATTTTTAAAAGTTGTTCTCCTTTGAAGTACACAGATACCTTCACCAACACTAGTTAGGAATTAAAGAGCCCAGAGAGTTCCTGTGTCTGTGAACTGATGCTAATCTCTTCTTATAGGCAGATCTGGAAAGGAAGTCGAAATATTATCTTTGATCAGCTGCATATTTAAACGAACAATGCTTCACCAAACTAAGTTTCAAAGTTGCTCTGAAAGTCTGGAAATGTAGCTACTTAGCAGAGGTCGTTCAAAATGTATCAAATTTATCAGGGAGCTATTAGGTTAGGGTATTTCCCCAAACAACTCTCAGGTTATAATCTGAAAGTGAGATAATATTTTCTGATTCATCCTTATACTTTTGAAAAGCTGGGTCACTTCGAATATGTCTTTTGTTTCCCATTATTATAGACATTCAGAACACCTTCTGTGAAGTTTTTGCGTCTGCATAAGAAATGAATACTCCATAGTACTCCATTTTGGACAGCCAGTGACCAATCATTTGAATGTGGGAGGTGATGTCTTAGGTGCCTTGACATATTCTTTAAAAGTAATGCATCTCTAAGGCTGACATAAACAAAGCATTCTACTGGGCATGATGGCTCATGCCCGTAATTCCAGCGCTTTGGGAAACCAAGGTGGGCAGATACCTTGAGACCAGGAGTTCAAGGCCAGTTTGGGCAACATGGCAAAACCCTGTCTCTACTAAAAACACAAAAGTTAGCAGGGTGTGATGCGCATACCTGTAGTCCCAGCTACTTGGGAGGATGAGGCAGGAGAAATGATTGAACCCAGGTGGTGGAGATTGCAGTGAGCTGAGATGGTGCCACTGCACTACAGCCTCGGTGACATAGTCAGACTCCATCTCAAAAAAAGTGAAAAGGAAAGAAGGAAGGAAGGAAGGAAAGAAAGAGAAAGAAGAGAGAGACAGAGGAAGGAAGGAAGGAGAAAGAAAGAGAAAGAAAAAGAAAGAAAGAAAAAGCAAGCAAGCAAGCATTCATTTAATGTGAAAGTTGACACATTTGGCCATAAAGAGAGGACTGTCACACTCTGCTTCACAGAGAAAACCTGGCTGTGGCTTTGGGCATGCACAACTCTGATAGCATGTTTCAAGGAGCCAGGAGAGGAAAGTGAGGGCAGTTTTTATTTTGAGAAATAGAAAAGAGAGGGGGACAAGGAGATACCACAAGCATCCCTTCTACAAAATCTGACCTCATCTCCTCCTCCCCCGCCTATTTTTACATTTGGCAGAGTGGATGAGTCTGCAGCTGGGCGGTGCAGCCAGATGCTCTGGCTTAAAAAGACGCAACAGCACCCTTGCTCCCTGGTCAACCTTTTACATGTGGAAGATGTCTGGCACTGTGCTTGTCACACGGCAGACCATTTAGCATCATGGTGACCTCCTATCCTCTATCCCTCTCTAACCAGAAGTCCTGTTTCTCTAGAACTGACTGCCCTTGGCTCTTACTGCATTCAGCCGGTCATTCAGTCAGTTTGCTTTTCACTTATATTCGTCCCTTGGTATCTGCTGGAAATTGGTTCCAGGACCCCCAGAAATAACTAAATCTGAGGATGCTCAAGTCCCTGTTGTAAAATGGTGGAGTATTTGTATATCACCTCCATACACCTTCCCGTATACTTTACATCATCTTTAGATTGCTTATCACAACTAATAAATGTAAACGCTATGTAAATGGTTGTTATACTGCACTGGGTTTTAAATTTGTATTTTTAAAACTTTTTTCTGGATATTTTCAATGCATGATTGGTTGAATCTGCAGATGTGAAACCCACAGATATGGGGGGGGGGGCACATGTATTAAGCACATACAAAGCGCTAGGCCCTGGAGAAGGCAGAGACGCATCTCACCTCAAGAGGAGGTGGTCAAGTGAAGGCAGTGAGTGTGCACACCTCTGAGGGAACTTGGCCTAGAAGAGAGGAGGCCAGTGGCTCAGGGAGACCAAAGATTGAGCACTTGAGCTCTGAGAGGAAGGATCAGAGTAAGGGAGGTGGAGGAGAGCTGTTTGGTTGGGCCCCCATGCCTGTTCTGTCACCTCTTCTGTCCCAGAGCCTGGAGACACTCTGAGTAGAGGGCATCTACATCTTCACTGATGATGTGATAATCTCCAAACCCCACTCCACCCTTGATTTAAATGGTCTTAGGAGACATACCTACCTTACCCTATAAGACTGAAAAGAGAACAAATGAGGTGATGATGCTTCTGAGGTCCATCAAGCACATTGTGTCTCAGTGCAGTGCTACTACCAGCCTGACTTTTACCACAGCGAGAGAACACCGTAGCATAGGATGTAGTATGTCCTTCCCTGGAGATTTGCAGGGAAGCGTGATCACTGGTCAGCTTTTTGCTCTAGAGGAGGCAAAACAGTCAAGAATGGAGGTCTTGGTTGAGGATAGGTATTACAGGGGCTCTTCCACATTAGTTTTCTGAATACAAAATGCTCCCCACATCGGGAAGATTAAATCAATGTATCTGGCCATTTAGAATTTCTCATGTCAGGAAAATTTAATCAGCAAATGATGGGTGACTGCCCTCTGGGTGTAATACAGCAACATGCTATGAACAAAGACCCTTCTATAAGAATAGTGGAAAGGAACTAATACCCACTATTTCTACTCTTCACTGCTAACTCTCCCTCCTCCTTCCTCTTGCAACCCTTATTTGTAGGTACTCGAAAAGATTCCATTCCACAAGTCCTACTCCCTGAGGAAGAGAAACTCATCATTGAAGAAACCAGAAGCAACGGCCAAACCATCATGGAAGAAAAGTGAGTAGAGCAGGCAAAAACCTTGCCTGGTGTGTCTGGGGGCTGGCAAGAAGGTCTGGCAGGACGGTGGGGCTTCTGGAGAGTATATGATGGACACCCTTTCCTTATCTGGGAATGTGGCCTGCTTTGGGAGATTTGAGAGGGCTGTCCAGTTACAAAAGGAAGGGGGAAGGAAAGGCAGAGGTGAGAGAACCCTCCAGGGCAGCTCCGGCTGTCAGCTGCCCCTGTAGCCAGCTCCCCATCCAGTAAGCTGCTTCTGAGCACATGCGAACATCGGTGCTCTGGATGAGTTTAGGAGGTGGCTGGGAATTCCAGTCACAGAACCGATTTCTTTACCCAGAGAGATACCACTCACACATTTTGAGTCAGAGCTGTGCTTTCACATATTTGACATCATTTAAAATCCTACAGCAATCCGGTTAGAGAAATATTACTCTCACCACTTTCACAGATAAAGAAACTGAGGTGCAGGAAGTTCAGGGAAATTATGTCTCTGGCTTACCCTTACACAGTAGTGTATGTGACCTAATGGGGGAAAATCAGGTTAAGTACCTTCTGGCTCATAAAATTAACACAAAGTAGCCAAATAATTCATTTGTCTAAATTTGAGTCATTTCTGAAGTCAGGCCTATATTTGCATAGGACAGCACATTTCAAGGTGCTTGGCATTGTCAATGCATTTTACATCTGGTGTGTGAAGTGATACAGCAAAATGGTAAAGCACTTGGGCTCAAGCAAAAATCAGTGCTGGTTCAACTCCCAATTCTGCTACTCATTAGCTGTGTGACCTGGGACAAGTTGCTTCACCTCTCTGTGCCTCAGGTTCCTCATCTGTAAAATAAGGATGCTGGTAATGCTTTCAGTGTTACTGTGAGGTTAAAAGAAATACGTATAAAGGCTAGCACTCAATAATGATAGTTAAACTCATTTTTATTATAACTATATTCATTCTTACAACTTTGTGAGGTTTTTAGAAAATGTGCTACTATTCCCATTTTACTTGTAAAGAAACTAAGACCATGAGAGGATGAGAAGGAAACTGGTTCCCAGAGAACAGAGGACTAGTAAGTGGCAGGATCAGAACCAAAAGTTAGATCCCCAAAATCTTTATCAAGGAAGAGACCCAGAGAGGAAAAGGCTGTTTCACAACCTAATCAGGGTACTTCATCCTTTTTGGGGTAACATATAGTCAGGCTATTCCAGAAAGAATGCCTCTGACTTTGTGTCATGTGCAGTCAGAAAACTGAGAAGGGCAATGTCACAGCACAGATATTGTAGAATAGGCAGTCTTGTGATACCTCTCATTATATGATAGGTGATGTTCATTCCTGCCCTAAAGCTAGGGAAATCAAAACCTTACGATGGGAATCGAAAACATCAAACTGTTAAAAACAGAGAGTAGAATGGTGGTTTCTAGGGACTGAGGGAAAAGGAGAAATGGGGAGATATTAGTCATAGGTATGCAGAATGAATAAGTTCTGGACAACTAATGTACAGCATGTTGATTACATTTGGCCCTCTGCCTGTGTGGGCTCTGGATCTGTGGATTCAATCAACCCCAGGTTAAAAAAAAATTCAGAGACAGATAGATGGCTGTATCTGTACTGAACATGTACAGATTTTTTCATACCTAATAAAGTTTTTCTTTTTCCATCTTTGTTGAGGGATAATTGGCAGAGATGTACAATGTGATGTCTTGATATATGTATGCACTGTGTTATACTATATTGTTTATTCCTAAATAAAATGGTAAAACAACTATTTACATAGCATGTACGTTGTATTAGGTATGATAAGTAATCTAGATATGATTTAAGGCATATGGGAGAGTTGCATAGGTTATATGCAAATATTTTATATTAAGGACTATTTAATATTGAGGACCATTTTATATTAATTTTATATTAAGGACGATTTAGTATTAAGGACCATTTTATATTTATATTAAGGACTATTTTATATTAATCTTAAGGACCAAATATTTATATTAAGGACCATTTTATATTAAGGACTTGAGCATCTGTGGATTTTGGTATCCATGGTGCCCTTGAACCAATTACCCATGGATACCAAGGGAAGGAAGACTGTATAGTTTACAACGCAGTATAAGAGTGTAGATTTTGCTAAGAGTGTAGATTTTGAGTGTTTCTACCACACACATACAAAAGGTAACTATGTGAGGAGATGGATATGTTAATTAGCTTGATTCTGGTGACCACTTATATCTTGATATATCAAGACATCACATTGTACAGCTTTGTCAATTATCCCTCAACCAAGCTGGGAAAAAGAAAAACTTTGTGATGGGCCTTGGTCTCTTGTATTTTGTTTACCCAAGCTGGGAAGTGAGTAGAAAAGGAGGAGGGAGGTATAGAAAAGGTGTAATGACATTGCCTTTAGCTAAGCATGTGTGGTGGTGGTTGTTCGTCCGTCAAAATAAAGAAGATAGAGACCATTCAGAGAAGTACTATTCCTGATCAGCTAGGAAGTCCACTGTTTTTCAGGATCTGTATTCTCATAAAGTGGCTTTTATTGTCAAGTATTTTAACAGTACATCAATGCAAGCCATTTGTCTCTGAATTTTATCTTTATGTTCTAGGAGCCTTGTTGATACTGTTTACGCCTTGAAGGACGAAGTCAAAGAACTGAAGCAGGTAATAAAATATAAAAGTCATTTTCTCAGATAACAAAACCGTTGTCTTTTCCTTGACTCACACTGGTCATGCTGTCAGGGAGGGCCTAGGAGCAAGGTGGTGAGGGGGGATTTTTATTTTCCTTGTGTTATCAAGGTAGGTTTTGTTGATTTTATAATGTAGCCTTGAATTTAAATTTATGATACTTGCTTATATTTCTATGTAGTAGTTCACAATAGAGTCCCAAAGTTAGTTACAACTTTCCTGTTCTCTGACATCTATAAACAGACCTTAAGAAAAGACTAGTCATTCATGAGTGTGTAAGTGTAAAGAGAACCACTAATCATTGTTTGTGGGCTTTTCTGCCGATGTGGTCCATTGCTCCGTGACACACTGTGCCTTGTGTATGAGGACTGACTGTATTGGGTGACAGACTGAAGGATGGATGGCAGGGGAGAGAGACCAGGGACTGGAAAACCACTTAGGAGGTTCTTACAAAACTCAGGGCGAGACATGTCAAAGTCCTGAACTGAGGCAGGGCAATGAGGCTGGGAAAGAGGAGAACGAATGTAAAGGATGGGACATTGTAGAGTTTGAACATACGGATGAGGATAGTGTGATTTTGAGATTAAGAAAGAGCCAGAGATTAAAGATGAAGCTTCTTTCCTGGGTATCCAGTTGCATATTGTAGTGCCCTTCATGGAGATCAGGAACCACAGGAGGAGGAGAAGTTTAGGGTGTTGAGAGAGATACTGAGTTCACTTTAGGACTCACTTTAGGAGTTTGAGGTGCTTGTGACATATCTAGGTGGAAATACGAAGCTGCTGCCAGGTAATCTCAGGTATGTGAAAGGATCACTTAAGCCCGGGAGTTTGAGGCTACAGTGAGTCATGATTGCATCACTGCTCTCCAGCCTAGTGAGACTGAGACCCCCATCTCTTAAAATAATAATAATAATAATACCAAGCTGGCATTTGAGATTATAGACCTGGTTCTCAGGAGACAAGATTGGTACCAGAGATATTTGGGGGTCCTCTTAATAGACACATGGTTTGAAAGAGAAGCGACACTAAGTAGCGAGTTAAATTAGAAGAGGGTCAGGGCAGGGAAGAAGAATCCAAAAGGCTCCCAGAGACAGGCAGGAGAATCGACAGGCTGCTTTGTCACAGATGCTGAGGGAGGGGAGGTTGAGGAAGGAAAGGTAGTCAGTGATGAAAGCTGCCCAGAGGATGAGCAGGAGAAGGGCCCCCCTCTGTTTGATAATCAACAAATCTTTCCCCATCATAGGAAAATAAAAGAATGAAACAATGCCTGGAAGAAGAATTGAAGTCAAGAAAGGACCTAGAAAAGCTGGTACGGAGGCTTTTGAAGCAAACAGATGAGTGTATTCGAGCAGAGTCCACTAGCAAGACCTCGATTCTTCCATAACCATCACTGTGCCACCGGGCGGAGTGTGCCTTCAGGGCATCTTGAAATGTGCCTCTGAATGATTTGACTCAGTTTGCTCACTTCTTTGGCTTTTGTTTTGTGTTTGAGTCTGTATCTCTCCCTCTCTCTTCCCTCTCTCTCGTGTGTGTGTGTGTGTATGTGTTTGTGTGTGTGCGCGCGCACGTGTGCGCCCACGTATGCTCGGGCATTTGTTGTTTGGTTGTTCATTTTTTTTCAACAGGGGAGAAAGCAGGAGGTGGTGGTAGAAATGGCCCCAGAGTCTTTTCCGTTCAGTAAGAAAAGGAAAGGGAACTCGGGCCAATTACTTTAAGGGTCTTCAGATTGCCTTCAGTTCACAGTGCCTCTGCAACAGCCATTACCCTCAGGTCACGTTCTTTGGGCGGGCTGGCTGCCCTCACAAAGCAGCTGGCCAAGGCTTATTAAATGTGAGCCCAACTTTTCCCCCTAGTGCTTTCCTCTGCCTGCAAGCCTGTTAGTACCTAATTTACTGAAGGCAAATCTTCCAGAGCTATGGCTAGAGTAAGATGAAAGACAAACACATCTGCCCAATGATCCAGCTGCCCTTCCTTAGACCATCACACGCTACCCCTCAATCACAGGTTTTCAAATTACTGCTCTATGTTGTCTATAAAACCAAGAAAACTGTAGTACCCTTATTCCTTTTGTGTTGTGTACATTGTAACTCAGGGGGCAGAAGCTCTGGTCACCCACACCAACACCAAATCCATCAGCAAGTTCTATTGGACAATCCTTCCTTTCAGTAGCAGAGTTGACTGCCTTTTCCCATTGCATGATAGGTTTCTTTCCCTCACCTTCTGCCTAGTGTGTAAGTTTTCTATTTCCCCAGTGCTTTTAGCCAACCATACCAACTGGTGTGTAAACTAGTATGTATGTGCTTCGCTTACTTTTTAAAAAATGTAGTCAGACTGTGAGCAGTTACTTTATGTACATTGCATATTCCAACTGTGACCTTTTATCCTTCAAAACTCTCTGCATTAAGGAGATATTGTGCCCTAGTAGACAGCTTTCATTCACTTTATTACTCTCTCTTATATGCTGTAAGAAATTGTAATATTCATCGGCCTCTTTGGGTGGGGCTCTAAGCAGTATTTGAAGAAATATGCTTGTGGTCCAATTTGTATATCCAGAACCAAAGGGCCCCTCTAGTTGTGCTGGATTATTTGGGACTGATTAACTCAAGTTGCTCATTGAATCAAACCATCCACTTTATCCCAGAAACTAGCACTGTGAGAAACCAGGTTTAGAAGAGAGTAACTGAACAGCACACATCCAAATTCAGCACCATTGAAAGTTGGCCTAAGGCTGAGTGCAACTCACCCTCCCTCCCCCAAAGACAAGAGAAATTTGGCCAGATGGGGAAGGTCACTGGTAAGTGAGGCCAAAGTGCTGATCAAAATTGCCTTTATAATATACTTGATGGATGCCTATAAATGTGGGTTTTGCAAATGTTGTTTAGAAACCAAACTTGAAGGCAGGCATGGTGGCCCACGCTTGTGGTCCCAGCTACTCAGGAAGCTGAGGTGGGAGGATCATTTGAGCCCAGGAGGTGAAGGCTTCAGTGAGCTGTGATGACACCACTGCACTCCAGCCGGGGTGACAGAGAGACACCCCTGTCTCTGAAAAAACAAAACTTGAAGTTTGAAACCCCCAGCTTGCTGAGGAGCCCTTTATCTTTTTGGTACTGAGAGTCTCAGTGTCCCGTAGCTAGGTGGTACAGGGCTGTTGTCTGCTTGCTGCACAGCAGAAATTGCAACATCCACAGGAAATGAAGCATTCTTACAGTCTAACATCAGCCAAACACACACAGCCATGTTTGGAAGCTGAAGAGTAAAGAAATTTCTAGGAATGGCTGTTGTTCTGTTTTTAAGCACAGCCGTTTAAATATAACATCCTTCATTTAAAAATTAAAAACATCATCACCGCTACCACCACCAGTGACAACATCAACACAGATCTTCACATCTGCCCATTCTGTGGTTAGTCAGTGGCTTGCAATAAGTGTGCAAACTGTATCTATAGGAAACATTTTTCTGATTATGAAATACTTTAGTTGATTGCTGAAAATATTGAAAGGTCTTCATTTTACAGTGATGTGTACATATGCATGTTTTGGGGACTTGGCCCTTCTGATGAGGGGCCCTCGGTACTCTGGATAACAAAGCTTGTGTGGAGTGGTAACCACGCTTACACACTAAACAATAATATAAAGGAAATGAAGCCATGTTAACCTGAGAGCAGTGTCTCCATAGTTGTGTTGTTTACAATACTCTACAAATGGGTTCCTGCTGCCCTTAGAGGCCTTTCAGTTCCTTTTCTGTCCTGTCCCTTCTTAACACAAGCTCAAATTTTCTAACTTGTTTTTATTTTGAAGACTTTTAAAATGGACATTTTCAATACATAAAAATAAACAGTGCTTTATAAAAATAAGTCTTTTGCTTCTTTTTTTGCTAGCCGGTGTGCAGAAAGATTTCTTGTGCTGTGTCAGCTTGCTCTCCTATTTCCCTCATTAGCTAGTCTGCTCTCACCAAGCCCTCTAGCCAGTCTCAACTTTTTTCACTCAGAGCAGATGACATTTGCTCCCTACTTTACAGAGATAATACATGCCATAAGATAGAACCTTCCTTAACTTCTCTACGTCTCTTCCTCTGGCCCAAACCTATAAACTATATCTCTGCTCACCATTTGCTTTCCAATATTAGAGAAAGACATATTTTGCTGCTCAAGATTATCCCTTGACATTTATTCCTGTCCTGATTCCTCTTTGATTTTGGCTGGATTTTGTCAATCAGTGATAATCCTATATTTTGACCACAGCTGGAATGCTGGTGTCAGCACTAAGGATGAAAATATTCATTCCACTAAAAGATTGATGAGGTGGAAATTATCTGCCGCTCCACATACATTCCTATCCCTTTTCTGTTTCTTCATTTCCCAGACTCCCTTGCAGCTAGGGTTATGGATAAAAAGTGGGTTCAGATACGTGTTCACTTCTGCCCACAAAATTTGGAAGGCTTAAGTTGGGCAGAGGCTGTCTTCTCGGGGTTTGGTGGCCAGCAGGCGATTCCAAAGATGTATTTGTGGCTTCTGTGCCCCACATTCAAGTGTGTCCCTTCACAGCTTTGTGAGTGAGAGATTGCAGTGGTGGCAGCAGCCTCTTAACTTGTGGATCACAACTGTGATGATATGACCTTGAAATCGTTAGTACAGTGGCATCCTCCTGACTTCCCCTGACTTCCACTTCTCTGCCCCAATGGTTTTGTAGACACCTAATTGCCTTTCTGCCTGAGATATCTTCAGTGGTTTATGATTCCTGCTCTGAGCCAATAGACAGAACATTGCACTCCATGTGTGCTAGGCACTGTGCTAAGTGGTTTACATGATTAAACTCATGTAAGCCTCACAACAGCCTTATTAAGTATTTACTATTGTTATCTCCACTTACAAATGAATAGAGGCACAGAGATGTTGAGCAACATGCTAAGACATGGTGGAATTGGGATTTGAAACCCTAGTCTCTCTGCCTCTTGGACCCATGCTCTCTCCATCACATAGCCTCCTCTGCACTTGGTACCTACTAAAGTTCCTACCTCAGCCATCCCCCTTTGTGAAGTCACCATTAAACTTGTAATTGACAAATCCATGGGTTTTTGAATCCTCATCTTGAAGTCTCTGCAGTATTGACCTTTGTCTTCTTGATGAATCTCTCCTTCCTTGATTTTCATGAGCCCACACTTTCTTGGCATTCATTTAGTCACCCCTGTCTCCTTTGCTGGACCTGCCTCCTTTGCCTGTCCCCCGAACATTGCTGATCCTCTTTTCCTCATCTCTTCCATTCTATAGCCTATTCCTGGACAATCTTGTCTATCTTCATAACTTTATTTATCAAAATGCAGATGACTCCCATGTCCACAGTTTTCCATTCTGACTTTTCTCCTGATCTCCAGACCCATGGATGCAGCTACTTTATAGACAACTCAGTGGAACTGCAGGAGTGGGAAAGGGGAAAATAACTACATATTTAACTGGTTTCCCTGAAAGTTGCTAAATTGCTTGAAGAATTATTCAGAGGAGTGTGAAAGTGTGGTATGGAAGGGGAAGGTTTGTGTACTGATGCCTATTAGACTAAGAATCAATGGTCATTGTGTTTTAAACAAACATTCCTAAATATAGAACTTCTCAAACCTATTGAAAAATTTGGCAACCCCAAGACCCCGGTGCTTAACAGTTTTTGACAATGAAACTATACCATAAAAAAGAGTCTTTGCTATCCACAGGTCTACTGTAATGTTTGCTCTTCCTTTCTTTTCTTCCTTCCTTCCTTCCTTCCCTCCTTCCTTCCTTCCCTCCTTCCTTCCTTCCATCCTTCCCTCCTTCCTTCCTTCCTTCCTTCCTTCCTTCCTTCCTTCCTTCCTTCCTTCCTTCCCTCCCTCCCTCCCTCCCTCCCTCCCTCCCTCCCTCCTTCCTTCCTTCCTTCCTTCCTTCCTTCCTTCCTTCCTTCCTTTCTTTTTCTTTTTATTTCTTTCTGGTTTCACTTTGCTTCACAGTGAGTGTGGTCTTTGATTTAGTACATGAGCAAGGCCTCTCATGTGTACCTGGGTTGCCAGGCATTTTCCTTGGTCTCAGAGGTTTCAGCCATTTAAGATAGCATCCTGTCCAATTGCACCGTTGATTGCAGACCAGTGTGCTGGGGACCATGTAGAGACCCACGTTAGTGCTCCTTACATGATGATCTTCTCCAGAAAGGAGATTCTGCTGGGGACTTTCTGTGGACAATCTCACTGCATCTTGGCTCACTGCAACCTCCTGCTCCCAGATTCAAGTGATTCTCCTGCTTCAGCCTTCCGAGTAGCTGGGATTTTAGGCATGTGCCACCATGCCAAGCTAATTTTTGTATTTTTAGTAGAGACAGGGTTTCACTATGCTGGCCAGGTTAGTCTTGAACTCCTGACCTCAAGTGATCCACCTGCCTTGGCCTCCCAAAGTGCTGGGATTACAGGTGTGAGCCATCATGGCTGGCCCAGCATGTCTTCTTTTTATTTCCACTTTACAGATGTGGACACTGAGGACTAGAAGAGGTGAAATGACTTGCCTGTACTTATAAAGCCAGTTAATAGTGGAGCCCAGATTAAGATTATATCTGTCTGACTCCAGATTTAACTACTACAGTACAATGAGCATTTCTGCTTTTGTTTTATTTTGTTTTAATGGGGATGTGGTTCACAGAGAAAAAGAACATAAAAATCATACTTAGTTCTATGTTTCTGTGTCTCAAAGTACTGCAGACTACTTTAAAAGCCTAAAGCAGTGCAGCTCCCAACACAGTGGCATTGGGTCCTGTGAAAACAGTTGAATGTAACACAAAATGTATTCCCTCCTGAAGCCCAAAAGTTTACATGTCATTTCCGTTTAAGTGGGGACACCCCTGTACTGACAGCTTGCTAGAGCACACTGCATTTTGTGGTCGTTTTCTAACCATCAAGTAACAGAGGCATTAATATTTTATCCTTTGTTTTTTTTCTCTTTATCTAGAAATAAAACTTATTGGGTATTTCCACCATTCCCATCCTCCCCCTTAAGATAGAAGGCAGAAATGACATGTTTATAAAAATGGAACCAAATTAGATAATTTGTGATCAGACTATTACAGGTAAATCAGAAATGTACTTGGGCCTTTTTCATATAAGGAAAATGCTGAAAATGTTCAATTGAAGTTTGGAAGAAACATATATTATTTTGTAAATTATTATGAAATGTAATATAAAAACATATTATCTATTTTTATCTACAGCATAATTCTCAGTCATTTTTTACTCCATGAGTGCACTTTTATAGTCCAGACATTTTTGACACAGTGAGGATCCTTTCAGTGTTGCAAATTTTTGCCTCAGCCAACACACAGAATTATTTCCTGGGCTATTGAGTTATAAGTAGCTGCATTTATTCATTTATTTATTCCTTTATGCACCAAATAAATGGCCAATTCCATGCTGAGTCCTGTGGTAGATGCTGAAGTTGTCATGGTGAATGGAACAAGGTCTTGGTGCTCAAGAAGCTCACAGCATAGCAGGGAAAACCTCAACCACGATAAGTGCTGTAAAACTTGCTGAGTGTAGGGTGCAGCAGAGGGAGGGAAATGGGTCTTACAAGAAGAGAAAACAGTAATTCAGGGTCTTAAGGTAGGAAAGCATTTGTAACCTTGCTTAGAGAAACTGAGGGCTAGAACTCAAGAGACCGAGAGAGGTGGCAGCAGGAGATGAAATTGATTATTTTGGTCTTTATTCCAAGGTTCATAAGAAGCAGGGGACTGACTGTTCCTGGAGAATGGATGGAAGGGAACAAGAATGGAGGGAGGGAATCTAGGAGGCTGTTGTACTATTCCAGAAGAGAGATGGTGATAATTTGGACTAGGATAGCAATAGTAGAGATAGAAAAAAGTAGATTGACTTAAAAACTGCTTAAGAGATAGGGTTAATGAGTATAGGCTGGAGGGATTGAACATGGGGGTGATGACAGTGAAGTCAAGCCAGGTTTCTGGCTTGAAAAACAGGATAGATGAAGATATCATTCAATGGAACAGGAAACATTGAACACATCCTATTGTGGAGGGGGGTTAATTAAAAGTTCCATTGGAATGCATTGTGTTTGAGGGCCTAGGCCCACTCTTTGGAGGTGCAGGCAAATTTTAGAAGACAGTTGAGAACAAAAGGCATGGCATTAGTGGCTTGAAGGTGCTGCTAAGTTAAAATCATGAGGCCAGGGAGATAGCCCACAGTGAGCAGGTAGGATTTAACCAGTAGAGATGAACACACCACTCTGGGTTTCTTACATGAAAAATTCCTCTATTGGAGGTGACAAGAAATGGCTCCATTGACTTCAGTGGAAAACTGTGGGGCCAATAGTTTCCCTTAGGTAACCCAGCTCCACTTCCTCTTGTCTAAGTGGAACCACCTAGACAGCTACTAATAAGATATGCCACTGCTTCTTATTTTAGGACCCCCCGTCCAGCCCACTTGGCTGTGATTAATAAAATTCTATCAATCTCCTGCAACTTTTTTCAGAAGAAGCTGGAAATAAAGACCTAGATTGCTTTTCACTGAATAGGCTAGCACATCATCCATCAAAGGCTGTCACAGACTTCTAGAAAATGTGCCACCACCAAGATATTTTACGATGTAAGTAGCTTAAGAACAGTTTATGAAAACATCACAAAGGTTGGGAAAATTTCCTCCAAATGCTTCCTCTTCCCCCAACCTGGCTGAGAGCTTTAGGTACTCAGACAACACCAATAATGTTAAGAGGTCTTTATTATTCAAAAAATAAATAACAAGATAATTACAAGTTCACTCTGGAAACAATGGAGACTGCAGGTAGATACAACAGATTTCCTTTAAATACAGTCATTTCGTGATGAGGAGTGGGCAGGCTCA